GAGGGTGGGGGATTTGTGGGTGGGATAGATAACCAGGTGTTAGAGGGAGCAAATGAAATACCGTGGAGGGAAGATTAACTGGCTTCCTGGAATTCTGAACAAGAACATGAAATATGTTGTTGCCGATTCCACCTACAGCTGTCCTATTATTGCTATTCAATTGTACCATTTTCAATTGTTAAACTGTCTCATGGATCTGAATGGATGGAATGGTTTGGGTATAAATATTTTAATTAAACAAATTAGTCAAAGACATGCAGGGTTACATCACTTTGTGCAGGAGCTATAGAGTGGGGAATTATTTCCCTTCCCCATTTTTGAGAGAGAAAACTCCCAAGAGGGGGATGTGCCCATATGCTTACCTTGACACCCCTATGAATGCTGAAGTTAAATATGTGCTGAACTGGGGTCACTGCAAAAGCTGGAAAGCTGTGTTTGGGAGCAATACTAAATCCATTTTTCTGTCATGCGTGGCTAACTGCAGACACATGTGATCTGTCCCTGAAGACAAATGCCTGAAAATCATCGTAGCTGGATTCCTAAACATCAGGGGAATCATTATATTTAATCATTATCTAGACCTGCCCAAAGAGTCTGACCAAACTCTACCCAATGATTCGGTGACTGGAAGCGTGAAGCACAAACAAAAATGGAAACTTTAGAGGAAAGTTTTGCCTCCTTCATAATCTCCTTTCCATAGTGGTCAACAGGATGCCCATCTAGTCCAATATCCTATTCTCACAACGGCCAACATGCAGGATCAAAACACAACAGAGCTCTCTCTGCTTGTGATGCCCAACCACTGGCATGCAGAGGCATACTGTGGGATGACAGCCTCATGTAACCAACATGCTTAAGTCTAATTAATGCATGAATGGGTTAATACCATAGAGTAAGCTGTCCTGCCAGGCTTAGTTAGGTCACTGCCCCTCACAGGATATTAGACTTGATGGGCCTTCAGCTGGATCCTGTAGAGCTTTTCTTATCTTTTTATGTCATGGGACCCAGTTCAGAATTAAGACAAGCAAAATAAAGGACTTCTTCACACAACATGCAGTTAAATTATGAAATTTGCTTCCACGAGATGGAACAACTGCCACCAACTTTAAATTCATGAAGGATCAGGCTATCAGGGACCAAGTGTTCCTGTGTGGGTGGTGGGACTTGAGAGAAGGGCCTCCTACGAATATCTCAAAACCCAGGTACGTTTGTATGAGGGAATATGGTCTTTCAGATAGCTTGGACCTAAGCTGTCTAGGGCTTTATGGGTCAACACCAGCATGTTGAACTGTGCCCGGAAACAGACCAGAAGCCAGTGGAGCTGTTGCATCTGTTCCCTATAGCCAGCCTTGGTCAACAATCTGTCTGCAACTCTTTCAGCAAGTTGAAGTTTCTGAGTGCTTTTCAAAGGAAGCCCCACGTAGAGTACATTGCAGTAATCTAAATGGGATGTAACTAAGGTGGCTGAATCAGACATCTCAAGGAATGCAGGTGGCTGGCACACTTGGTTTAACTGTGCAAACACACTCCTGTCCACTGCAGAGATCTGAGTATCCACACTCAGGGCTGAGTCTAGGGGCATTCCCAATTTGCGAACCTGTGTCTTCAGGTCAAGTATTATCCCATCCAGCAGAGTCTGAATCCCTATTCCCTGTTTTTTCTTCTTTTTTTGGAATTCTTTTTTATTAATTTCCAATAAAAAAGAATTTTTAGTCATACATTTTCAATACAATCACAACTACGTATTTTTGACTTCCATCAGTTCATCCGTGAACCCTCCGTGTTCTCGTCTTTATACTGCAAGTTCAAAATTTGTCATTGTCTTTTATCTTAAAATCTACCTACTCCCCCTCTTCCTTTTTTACAATGTTTCTATACATATTTCTTCACAAAGCTTCCTGTAAACCCACAAACGTTATTTGTTCATCACATATGCTTTTCATATAATCCACAAATTTACTCCAGTCCTCAGTGAACTTGTGATCTCGTTGGTTTAGGACTTTCCCTGTTAATTTATCTAGTTCTGCGTAGTCTGTTAATTTCATCCCTGTTTTTTCTACTAACTGACCTTGTCTGGATGAAGTTTCAATTTGTTCACCCTCGACCAGTCCATTACCGGTGACAAACACCAGTTTAGAACCAAGGCAGCTTCCTTGGACTTAGGTAGAATGGAGAATTAAAGCTGGGTGCCAATAGCATACAGGGGTACCTCGGGTTACAGATGCTTCAGGTTACAGACTCTGCTAACCCAGAAATAGTACCTCAGGTTAAGAACTTTGCTTCAGGATGGGAACAGAAATTGCAGCATGGCAGCAGCAGGAGGCCCCATTAGCTAAAGTGGTACCTCAGGTTAAGAACAGTTTCAGCTTAAGAACCGACCTCCAGAATGAATTAAGTTCTTAACCCAAGGTACCACAGTACTGGTGACCCTGAGCCCCCAAACTCCAGACAACCTCTCCCAGTGGTTTCATGTAAATGCTAAATAGCATGGGGGACAGCACAGAACCCTCAGGCTAACAGTCACCACCTTGGGGGTTTGCCTCTCCAGGAAGGAACAGAGTCACTGTAAAACAGTGCCTCCAAGTTCCACCCCAGCAAGGTGACCCAATGGTTTATGGCATTAAAAGACCAGCAGAACCAACAAGCACAGACTCCACTTGCCCAGTCCCCAGTCTAAGTCATTCACCAAGGTGAGCAAAACCATCTCTGTCCCATAATACAGGGGGCGAGGTATTGTTCTTGTTTGCCATTATGGTATGTATTTCTGTGTTTTTATACTGTAAACCGCCCTGTGACCTTCAGAGGAAGGGCAGTCTAGAAATTTAATAAATAATAACCTGAAACCAGATTGAAATGGATATAGCTAATGTTTCCTCCAGAAACCTCTGTCATTGTCTAGTCCCCTTTTCTTCTCACTGCTTGACAAGCTGCAGCTGGGCAGGATTTGATATGCAAGAAGGTAGAGGAAGAAGGAACTCAGGAGTGCAGAGCTGAGAGTGCAAATAAATATTTCAGCAAGCGCTAGCACACAAGACATGGCAACATAAATAAAGCAGAAGCACATGGAGAACAGCTTTGAATGCCATTTGGCTTAAGCCATCTGTGCCTTCAGAAGTAGAAAGCATCTAAGAGATTTATTCCGAGGCAAAAAATGGAGGCGGAAGGGTGCAGAGAATTATTTCTTTATGATTGTGCGCTTTGACTCTTGCTCATGCAGCAAAGGGAGAGAGTGCAGAAAGGGCAGGAAGGAAGGGCGAAAACGGCACACCTTAGCCTGATGAGGCTGTTATGGAAATCAGAGCTGTTCATTCAAAATCAGAGCCATTCATACAAATGAAAGCCTTTTGCAGTTGTGCTCTTGGATCAGCTGCATTCGCAACTTTGCAGGGGCAACTGGTGGAAACGTTTAGTTCTGCAATGGAAAGTTAGGGCAGAGATAGCAGACCCTCCAAGTGTCCCTATTTTTTTTAGGGACAGTCCCAGATTTACAGAAGCCGTTCCAGTTTCTGATTTGATCCTGGAATGTCCTGCTTTTCCTTAGGACGACCCTATTTCCATCAGAGAAATGTTGTAGGGTATGGAGTTATGTGACCCCTGAGCCAAGGAGATAAGTAACTATAAAACCTTTAGAAGACATCTGAAGGCAGCCCAGTACAGTGGTACCTCTGGTTGTAAACGGGATCTGTTCCAGAGGCCCGTTCGCAACCTGAAAAGAGAATAACCTGCAGAGGCGCATCTGCGCACGCATGGGTTGCGATTCGCTGCTCCTGCGCATGCACGTTTTGTCATTTTGCGCTTTTGTGCTTCTGCGGATGCGTGAGCGACGAAACCCGGAAGTAACCCTTTCCGGTACTTCCGGGTCACTGAGGGACGTAACCTGAAAGAACGTACCATGAAGTGGATGTAACATGAGGTATGACCGCATAGGGAAATTTTTTAATGTTTCATGTTTTATTATGTTTTTATGTATGTTGGAAGCCGCCCAGAGTGGCTGGGGCAGCCCAGTCAGTTGGACGGGGTATTAACAACAACAACAACAATAACAACAATAATTTTCTGTATCATTTATTAAGAGATGAAAATAAAAATAATAATAATACAACTACAAAACAACAACAACATCATCATAGTTGTTGTTGTTGAATTGGACGTCCCTATTTTCATCAGAGAAATGTTGGAGAGTGTGAGATAGTCATTTGGATCCATTCAGAATGCACAGAGAGGCCAAAGCAGTACAATGCCCCTGCCCAGTGGGGGCCATGGCCCATGGCACATAATCTTGGGAGGCAGAAACCAGGCGCCCCCCACATGCACCCAGCACACAAATGTCTGAAGAGCACAGAGGGCGTTCTTCACCCTCCACACACCCCACTCCCACCCACCAGCTGACAGGTGGGGCAACTGTGCACTGGGCAGCAGTGGGGCATGGAGGGCAAAGAGCACCCTCTGTGCCCTGCCCACTCCCACCCGTCAGCTGCCGGGTTGGCACTCATTGCCTTGCAGGAGCAGAGCACAAAGGGCGCTCTAAACCCATAGAATGTATCTGAAGGAGCGTCTCCACCCCCATTGTTCTACCCGGACACTGAGGTCCAGCACCGAGGGCCTTCTGGCGGTTCCCTCACTGCGAGAAGCCAAGTTACAGGGAGTCAGGCAGAGGGCATTCTCGGTAGTGGCGCCTTCCCTGTGGAACACCCTCCCACCAGATGTCAAAGAGAACAACAACTACCAGGCTTTTAGAAGACATCTGAAGGCAGCCCTGTTTCGGGAAGCTTTTAATGTTTGATGTATTATAGTATTTTAATATTCTTTTGGAAGCCGCCCAGAGTGGCCGGGGAAGCCCAGCCAGATGGGCGGGGTATAAATAATAAATTATTATTATTATTATTATTATTATTATTATTATTATTATGTGCTAGGAAGCTTCCAGAACAGCAAAGGATCGGGGACTTCACTGCCCTCATGCGATCTGGGAGTGCACAGTTTCCCAGGAACGTCATTAGACACAGATAGCTCAGTTGGTAAAGCATGAGACTCTTAATCTCAGGGTTGTGGGTTCAAGCCCCATGTTGGGCAAAAGATTCCTGCATTGCAGGAGATTGGACTAGATGACTCTCGTGGTCCCTTCTAACTCTACAGTTCTATTATTCACCTTGCAAGCCAAAAGGCCTCTGGTGTAGCAGAAGTATGATGGTGATGCTACTCGTCCCCTGCTGGTAACCCCTGGGAATGTGAGGAGGGTACATGATAGACTGGTGTGGGGAACATCTCCAGCCTGAGGGCCACGTTGTCTCTGAGGGGCCACATTCCAATGGTGGGTGGAGCCAGAGACAAAAATGGCTGGAGGAACAGACCTGACTCTTAGTTTGGGACAGTAGGCTACATTCCAGACACGCCAACGCAAGAGGTTTCTACCCACACATCTCCTGATCCAGGCAAGGAAAGGGCATTGTCACAATTCAAGGAACCTGAGAAGAGGCAGATAAACACCTGGAGAAGAGGCAGATAAACACCCTCAGGCCTGAGCTTCTCCATCCCTGTAATAGATAAATAGATAGATAAATGATAGATAGGTAGATCCTCCTTTTAGGACAATGACTCCTGAGATGATGAGCAAAAGATAAGGACCTGGGATGTTCCTGGAGTGAGCTATGCCCACACCATGCTCTTTCCAAATTTATGTGTGAATCAGAATGTCATCACCCTCTGTCATAATGTTCCCTTTCTCTGATTTCAGTGCAATCCTTGGCTCACAAATCTATATACAGTGGTACCTCGGGTTACATACGCTTCAGGTTACATACGCTTCAGGTTACAGACTCCGCTAACCCAGAAATAGTACCTGGGGTTAAGAACTTTGCTTCAGGATGAGAACAGAAACTGTGCGGCGGCAGCAGGAAGCCCCATTAGCTAAAGTGGTGCTTCAGGTTAAGAACAGTTTCAGGTTAAGAACGGACCTCCGGAACGAATTAAATACTTAACCCGAGGTACCACTGTATACGAAGAGGTAATTGAGACAAAATATATTTATAAATGTTTACATTGAGAGAAAATATGATCTGAAATACCATCAGAAAGTTGGGGGGGTGCCAATTCCTCCCTGCCCCCTTCTTAATTTGTAAAATTCATGTAGAAATTGGGTGAGACCTAGGAATGAGCATGAGTGAAACTGACATGAATCAGAAACAAGCTGATCAGTCCACCCCTGTTTTGCAGATTAGAGTCTCTGAACTGAAGAATGATTTCCAGCAGGGGTAGAGAACCTGCACCCTCCAGGCATTATTAGACTCAACTCCCTTCAGCCACGGCCAGCAGCCCCCAAGGTCAGGGATTATACCAGCTGCAGACTAACAACCTCTGCCCTGTTGTGGGTTCACTATCCCTGTGCTCATGCCTCGTTTGCTAAAATCAACATTTTAAGACTCCTGAAGCCACAAGCAGCATCCCTGTTAACTACATTAACATGGCTTCCCATCTCCCTCTTCCTCCTCAGTGTCAGCTCCAAACAATCTCTGGCAAGTCAAAACCAGCAGGGATGAGAATATTTATTTTATTGCACAACATAATTTATTGGGCCCCCTGCATTCATCGGGCTTCTGCCGCCCTCTGCTTCACCCCAATGAATCTTTATTTTGGACTGAAAATGAGCAGTCAATACTGTTTACTTCCTATTGACTTCATGCTTAACACAGCGGTGGTGAGGAGAGCACTGAACTATTATTGACCTCTCCGACACATGTCTAATCATAACGTTCCATCAAAAGATTCCAGGAGTCGTCTCTCTGGGTCACTGATTGCTTACCGGCAAGCTTTACCTAACAACAAGGAACAAGATCCTACCTCCAACGCACACACCTCCCTCTGTAGTAGTGGGGAGCCTCAGGCCCAGAAGCTGAATTTGTCCCCCCTCAACCCTCCTCAACCCAAGCCACACACCTCACTAGCATCTTCAAGTGCTTTTGCCTGGCTGGAATACCAGGCAAATGAAGGCTTCTGCAAAAACATCTGATTGTTTGTGTGAGAGCCACATCTGTTGGTCCAACCTCATCCACCACTGGCATGTCCATTAAGGAATGTGGGGTTCTCTCTCCATACCCTCCAACGCTGATCAAAATCAGGACGTTTGTTTTTTGGTCCCAAGCTCCTGTGGGAGTCAGGTGATTTGTGCTGGACCAAAAAAAAAAAAAAAATGGGACCTTCCAATATCCAGATGGCTTCTATAATTCTATAATTCTGGGATGCCCTGCTCAAATCGGGATGGTTGAGGAGTATGTCTCTCGTGTATTGTGGATTTCTGGAAGGATATTCATTGAGACTGTTCAAGTGCACCATAGGAGGTCCCAGCAGGCACACTGGTGCCAGTGTGTGCCACAATGGTGACCCATAGGCTCTGCATACGCTGAGCCCATAAGCTTCAACAGCAAGCAGAATCTTATCCCTCCATACGTAAAGCCTACAAAGTTTCTCACTATGCAAAGAAAGCTACTTAGGTGACTTACATTGTATAACAGAGACAGGAGTCTATTAAGGGGCTGACTAGCTGCTGATTCACAGTATCTGTTTGTTTAGGAAGTGATTATGGCCATGCTTCCTCCCTGGAAGAAGCAGGTGGGATGGGGAGGAGCCTAAATCTTATAAACAGCTTTCACCATGTAGATAAGGGGTGCAGAATTTTTTTTTTCCAGCCTGAGACACACATTTCCCAATGGGCAACCTTCTGGGGCTATGCACCAGCAGGCAGTGGGGGCAGAGGCAAAGTGAATGGATTGATGGGTGTGGCTATTTCAGGAGGAATTCCAGCCAGGGCCATCTTTACCCAGGGGTGCAAGGGGTGCGGGGCACCCAGGCGCTGAATTCTGGGGGGGGGGGGTGCCAGGCGCTCGCCGCTGAAACTGCCTAAGCTCTTAACTATCTACCTGCTATAAAATAATAAATAATTTTGATCAAGCTAGAAAAACAAAATACATATATACCTAGGTATTACCGAAATGTATACCTACTGTTTCACTAAAGGACTTTCGACTTTGTGCGCTCACTTACTAAAGATGCGCCGCACCAGCAGCAGCGCTTGTCATTCACAAATGGCGGCACTTGACTCAACGACAGCACTTGTCATTCACAATGACAGTGCTTGTCAGACTCAACGATGGCGCTTGTCATTCACAATGGCACCGTGCACGTGAAATTAACTCTTACATCATAATAAAAGTTAATTTGGGGGCTAAACTAAATTTGGGATCACTGGACGGATCTTTGCACCCTGGCAGTGCATGTGCTAAAGACTGCGCTGATTGCAGCCACACCAAAGTCAGAGGTTTTGATGTACATCTGCAGTTCTCACCATCCTCAGTGAAGGGGAGCAACAATGAGGTGCTGAGAACAGAGCCTCTATGCTACACAGTACATAACTTGCAACATCTTTGTTTGTCTGCTGCCCTTAGGTATAGCAGAAGATGTTAGCACAGCACCAGAGCCAAGGGGAGATAAAGCTGACAATTCTATTGGTTTCAGTACATGAAATGTGGCAGTGTGTGGGCTGATTGTCCCTCACCTCAGGGGGCAACACTGATTGAGTCAGGCCTATGGAAGGAAGTGAGCATAAGAACGTAAGAAGAACCTGCTGGATCAGGTCAGTGGCAGCATCCTGTTCTCACAATTGCCAACCAGATGTTTGTGCAAATCCCTCAAGCAGCATCCCAGCACAAAACACTGTCCATTCCTGTGGTCTCCAGCAACTAGTACTCAGAAGGATTACTGCTACCAGTTGTGGAGGGGAGCATAGCCACTGAGGTTAATAACTTCTTCTTCTTCTTCTTCTTCTTCTTCTTCTTCTTCTTCTTCTTCTTCACAACAAAATTTCTTAGGGTGGTTCACCAAGTTACAAATACAAGATAAAAGCACATATAAATAGTTAAAACAATTAATAGCCTTATCCTCCATTAATTTGTCCAATCCTCTTTTAAAGCCTTGAAAATATTATGGGGCTCTGGCCCCCATGCCCGCCATAGATGGTGCCCCTGTTCCTGTGGGAATGCGTTCCATAGCTTAATCTGGGATGTCCAAACTTTTTTCAAAGAGGGCCAGATTTGATGAAGTGAAGGGCCATGAGGGCCGACCAAAGGGCTGACTCAAGTTGTTGACCTTTTTTAGGATTGAAGTTGTTGAGCTTTTCATGGGATTTTACCCCAAAGTTCTTGAGCTCTTTTTAGGATTGAAGTTGTTTTGTTGAGGTTTTGGGGGGATTTTACCCCAGGAAATAAACTGCCACAGGGGCTGAATTAAACTGACCGGCAGGCCGGATTGGGCCCCCAAAACGGACTCTGGACATGCCTGTCTTAAGTACATGCTGCATGAAGTGTTTTATTTTATATGTCCTGAAGTGGGTGGAGAACCAACCAAATTTTGTTGAAAGCAAAGTTTTGAGAGACTTGTGGGACAGGCAGCCTTGTTTGAGTTAAATGCCAAAGAATTATGAAGGAAACAGTAAAATGTGGTGATGACTAAAGAAATGTATTAAGAGGTTCCATTCATTCTTTGGAGGGAAGCATTAGGAGTGCCCCTGATGATTATAACCTTCTGGGAAATGTTCCCTTCTGGGAAACTGGTCCACTGAAATATATATATTTTCCTTTGCACTGGGTTACACATAGGTTCTAGGTGAAGGTAATCAACTAGAGATATTTCTCCCTCTCTCTTTTTTGGATCACATAGACTTAGAGAGGCAATTCCAAGTTACCTCTCATTAGGCAGATGCTCATTGGCTGATTTATGGCTCTTTCAAGCTTTATATCCCCACAGAAGTTTGTTGGTGAAAAGCCCAATGTAATCATTCAGAGCTGCGATTTATTATGTTTAACTTAGCTGTCCCCAGCAGATGCCCTAACAGGGATGGAGGTGGGCAGGGCCAGCAAAAGGTCATTCTCTTTGCATCGCCAGTTAAAGGTTCTCAGCTTGAGAAGTCCATACCAGACCTGAGACCCTAGAGAGCTGTTGTCAGCTGAAAGCGTACACCTGCACACACCTCCAAGCTCGATTTGGGGGAGCAGGAATTCAGCATCAATGTGTTGTAGAGCCAT